GACGGGACAATGGGACTATTATAGCATTCCAGTGGTACTTGTATAGAATTAACATAATGAATTCCCAGTAGTGCAGTAAATGAAAGAATAGTATGTAATGCTGAAGGCAGAATTGATTGTCCGAAGATTTTATAGTAATTTCAGCTGTTGGCAGCATTCATTGCCCTTGGTTTTGATTGTAATTTATTTCTGTTCACTTTGTTCCTTACAGGATGTGGTGGTATATTTGAGTTTGGAGACAGAAACCTGTAATTATGAGTTCGAATCCTGGTTTGCACAGATTGATTTGTCATATATCAGCACCAGAGGCCCAGATAAGCTGCGTCTCCAGGTAAAATACGCATAGAAAATTTCCAATTACGCATTGAAAAATAATTGTTGCATACCAATTACGCATTTAAAATGTTAGATACGCAAAAAGTTTAAAACAAATGCGTACGGAATATATTTATAAAAATCGCTTGCGTAATGAAAAAGACACCGATTGCTATCAAGTTGTACTGTTAGTATAGGACTAGTGTTGTACTGTCAGTATAGGATGAGTGATTTTTTATGAAATCATTTCCATTATATATAAGTTGTTTCTCATTAGGTATGACATAAGGCAGAACATACCTGCTTAGTAAACTTACTCAATGACATAATACTTAGGTGAGTAAAATGACTGAAATACACACATATTTGAAAGCAGTGGGTAACGGAAAATGAAATACCCACTCAACATTCATAATGCCCACTCCAAAAAAATACAGTGTGTACAGTACCCACATGAGCTAAATCTTATCTGGAGCTCTGATATATCAGCACCATTACTGTACATGTAGGTTTCATCAAAGTGGACTTCGAGACATCCCTTACTTTGGGCTGTCCTCCCGTATAAAGCTGATATCCTCTGATATAACTAAGTATATATTCCAAAGCTGTTTGAAAGGATGTCAAACGATTCACTGACTCATTCAGCATCTGAAAATCTAGTCATGGTATTGTACTTTTAGATCATACTACATTCATGGAACAGTTAATCAATGAAATTAACAGGAAGTACATCCCTTGATTTGAAATAAGACGTAAAATCCCCTTCAGTGAAACCAGCTGCTGCATAAAGATCAATGATAAGTGTTGTGCATGCATTGCATGGCAAGACGCAAAGACATATGACAGAGCTCCAGATAAGATTTAGCTCATGTGGGTACTGTACACACTATTTTTTTGGAGTGGGTATTATGAATGTTGAGTGGGTATTTCATTTTCCGTTACCCACTGCTTTCAAACGTGTGTATTTCAGTCATTTTACTCACCTAAGTATTATGTCATTGAGTAAGTTTACTAAGCAGGTATGTTCTGCCTTATGTCATACCTAATCAAAACCAACTTAAATATAATGGAAATGATTTCATAAACAATCACTCATCCTATACTGACAGTACAACACTAGTCCTATACTAACAGTACAACTTGATAGCAATCGATGTCTTTTTCATTACGCAAGCGATTTTTATAAATATATTCCGCACGCATTTGTTTTAAACATTTTGCGTATCTAACATTTTAAATGCGTAATTGGTATGCAACAATTATTTTTCAATGCGTAATTTCAAATTTTCTATGCATATTTTACCTGGATACACAGCTTATCTGGGCCTCTGATATGATTTATTTAAACTGGGGCCTATTAAAAACAAAGACATTTCAATTTTAATTTTATAGAAGTAGAGAACTTGAGTGAAACATTCATGATGTTGATAGTTACAAGATAACTGCCATGTTTTCTGTAAAGAAATCTATTTTTCCAATGTTAGAAAGGCTGCTTCTAGGGATTGTTGACATATTGGTCTAGAATTTCATCAGGGAGTGCTTTTTGTAACGGAGTGTTTATGGAGCAGGGATTTAACTTTGGATTCGGATTTGAATTCTGAGGCAGAGGACAGTCTCCATGGTCTGGTGGATAAACTGGATGGGTGGATCCCATGTCACTCCGATCCTAAAGTTGCTAAAATATTTCTTTAGGTTTTCTTGTTGTGGCAGTCAGTATTCAGCTCTGTGATGGACGTCTGTAAATGATCATGTCTGGACCTGACAATCCAGTGATCAACAACATGAGCATAGATTGAGGCAATTGGGATATTTGACAAAAAGCAACAAGTGAGTTTAGTTTTATGCCGCAATCAGCAATATTCCAGCTATTTTATGTCAGTCTGTAAATAATCAAGTCCAGACCAGACAATCCAGTGATCAACAGCATGAGCATTGATCTATGTAATTGGGATACAATGACTTGTGTCAGCCAAGTCGGCGAGTTTGACCACCCGATCCTGTTTGCTTCCTCTTACGACAAGCATGGGTTACTGAAGATCAATTCTAACCCGGACCTTCATGGTACCAAAGTTGTTAAAAGATGTATACATCCTGGTAACCTTGACTGGTGCTTGAAATTAACGGGGTAAAACAAGCACTGGTCAACTCATATCTTCCTGGGTGAGAGGATTGGCGATATTACGGATCGTCTGGCAGCGGGTTAACAGTATAGAACCGTACAGACTCATACAAACATCCACGAAACACCTGCTTGTACATTGCTAGATACTTGCAGTAATCTTGGATTTGACATTAAAATCCACTTCGCCTTCCTGTCAGAGTAGGGCAGTGGGGTTGAAGCGTTCGCTTGTCACGCCAAAGACCCGGGTTCAATTCCCCACATGGGTACAATGTGTGAAGCCCTTTTCTGGCGTGCCCCAATGTGATATTGCTGGAATATTGCTAAAAGTTGTGTAAAACCATACTCACTCACTCCTGTCAGAGTGAAAATGTATTGAATATCAAAATATGACTATCAGTACCCTGTGTAAATGATGTAAATACTCAATGGTTGAACAAGTTGCTTGTAGCCTGTCACTTTCATAACTCTTCCACTAAAACATACACTTTTAGCCATAGTGCCGATATCACTTTGTGGATTGAGGCCTCATTCTAACAGCTCTCAAGCTTGTGAACCACTTATGCAGCACACACAGAAAGATAATATGATAATTGAAGCATTATCAATCTGCAAATTTGACATTTCCCGGGCTGGCATGGAGTACAGTTTCTGAGTAAATTGCCATGGCCTTTAGAGCGACATGTTCTGTTTGTTCAATGTCAATTTCCAGCTCCATCAGAACATATATAAACATCTAGGAAAATGGCTTCGTAATTACAACTGGGATCGGACCATTTGTTACCACACTTTTAGGCCAAGTATTTGATATCTTGAGGCTGGCAAACAGTCTCTGTTTCATGCTAGCTGTCCAAGCTGATTGCCTCCCCTGTTATAGAGTGTGTTTGATTAGTGTTGAAGTATGACAGGTCTTTTCAGCTTGTAATGTGTCTTCATTAGGATGTTTCCTTGAGGTAGTGGTTGTTTTCCTTGTTGGGAGTCCATTATTTGTTGTATGAGAGTTCAAGTGTCCTTAGTTCAAGGTGCAGAGTTATTTCCCTTGATGTGATTGAAGGCACAGAGTTATTTCCCTTAATGTATTTTAAAGTGCTGAGTTATTTCCCTTGATGTTGTTAAGGTACAGAGTTATTTCAAATACAGGTTATACATGTGGACAAGTCGTACATTAGAACTAAACAAATCTGAACCACAATACAGACAAATTACATCAGCATAGGGAACGTCCTCCCATACGTTACCCGTGAAGGTGCGGGTTAGAATGTCCCTTCAGTAACCCATGCTTGTCGTAAGAGGTGACTAACGGGATCGGATGGTCAGGCTCACTGGCTTGGTTGACACAAGCCATCGGTTCTCAGTTGCGCAGATAGATGCTGATGCTGTTGATCACTGGATTGTCTGGTCCAGACTCGATTGTTTACAGACCGCCGCCATATAGCTGGAATATTGCTGAGTGCGGCGTAAAACTAAACTCACTCACTCACTCACTCCTCCCATACAGAGCCACCTTATATAAGATATGCTGGACAGAAAACATTGCAGATAATTAGGGCTGTTACGATTCACTCGCATGTTTTTTTAATTGTACTGAAAAGAAATTCAATTACTTATTCATTGTCTCTAGTATAAGATAATCATGATTTTCTTAGAAAGGAGTGCATTTACTTGAATTTGGGTGAAACTTACCTAAGCAAGAGATGTTAAAGGGAATGCATCTAAGCCAAGCAGGATAACTGTCAACACTCGTATATATATTTAATTGGACAGTGCTGTTGTCACTGGTCATTGTCATGATAAATCAGTACTGTAACTATGGCCAACACATGTCAAAGAATATTATCATAATACTTGTAAAGCGCCAATATCCAGCTCAGAGGCTTTTCCCTCTATCATTAGATGTCAATCTTAAACGGTACATCATATTATCAATCTCAACTCCCTGGGGAACTTACAACTCTTGCAGCTACTAGACGCACTGAGTTAATGTGGCTTTCCCATCCTTACTAGCTTTCCATTCACAGCTGGGTGGACTGGGACACACAGTACTTTGTCCAAGTTTACTGCATGTTTACTAGGTGTGACCACCATCTGATCATTTACCATCGGATTCATGGGTTCTGTTAAGTGCACAGGGTTGTGTACTGTACACTAGGGGTTGTGACAACACTGAAAGAGTCTGCACACAAAGTTGACTCCAAGGTTTTTACACCCGGCCACAGGTGGGCTCGATCCCGGCACCTCAAGATCGCTGGATCACTAGCCTGACGCCTTAGACAGCTCGCCCACCACTTCCCCATAGCATGCCCACCATGAATATATTTTAATTTTCGTACTCCTTGCCCAATATTTGTATTCATCATCCAATAGTAGTGATATTTGTCATATTTGCCTCACATTGGATTCTCTGCATCCATAGTGATTGTGATGTTTTGGGATATTTCTGCGATAGTCTAATAAAGACTGGAGAAACAACACCATAATATATTTGAATATATAAAATATACCTGAAGACAATCAGTTCATATGTTCACAATTGAAATTATGTAATTATTAAAATCATTTCTTTCAGACTTTGACTGCGACCGTGAATGTTGACGAGAAGTTTGAGCCCATGGTTGCCTTCATGTGCAACAAGCCCGCCATGCATCGTGTGACGAATGGCTGGGAGTACGACACCACAACCGACTGCCTGGAGAAGAAGACCGACATCCTCCAGTACTGCCAACAGGTCAGTCTTTCACTAGAGCTCCTGTTATCATGTGTTTTTGTGTAAAATATGTCCAATAAATAGCCACTGCCTGATTTATTTCGAGTTGCATGAATACAGATATGCTTAGATTATAAGGAAACAATAGTCTGACAATCACAGGTTGGTAGCAGCCCTACATCTTCCCCCCACATCCCAATCCATGTTCCCTCAATCCAATACATGTCCCTTGAATCTTCATCCATGTTCCCTGAATTTCCAGCCATGTTCCCTGAATCTCCATCCATGTTCCCTGAATTTCCAACCATGTTCCCTGAATTGTCATGTATTCATGTCCCCTGAAATCCAATTCATTTGCCATGAATCCCCATCCATTTCCCTTGAACATCCTTCAATATCCCCTAAATACCGTTCCATATCCTCCAAACACCGTGGGGCAGTAGGGTATCCTAGTAGTAAAAGCCTTGTCACGCCGAACACCCGGTTTTGATTCCCCACATGGGTACAATGTGTGAGCCCATTTCTGGTGTCTTCCTGCCGTGATATTGCTGGAATATTGCGTAAAGCTGCGTAAAACCATACTCACGCACTCGAGATACCATTCCATATCCTCTAAGTGTCTTTCCAAATCGTCAAAAGCCCCTTCCATATCCCCTGAATCCCAGTCTATGTCCACTGAATTGCCATGCATGCCTGTCCCCTGAAACCCAATCCATGTGCCTTGAATCCTAATCCATGTCCCATGAATCCCCTTCCATATCCCCTCTGTACTCTTCCATCTCACCTGAATCCCAATCCTTATCTCCTGAATTCCCTTCCATATTCCCTGAATACCAGTCTATGTCCACTGAATTGCCATGCATGCTTGTCCGCTGAAACCCAATCCGTGTGCCTTGAATCCCAATCTGTGTGCCTTGAATCCCCATCCGTGTGCCTTGAATCCCCATCCATGTGCCTTGAATCCCCATCCGTTTGCCTTGAATCCCCATCCGTGTGCCTTGAATCCCCATCCATGTGCCTTGAATCCCAATCCGTTTGCCTTGAATCCCCATCCGTTTGCCTTGAATCCCCATGCGTTTGCCTTGAATCCCCATCCGTGTGCCTTGAATCCCCATCCGTGTGCCTATCCGTGTGCCTTGAATCCCCATCCTTTTGCCTTGAATCCCCATCTGTGTGCCTTGAATCCCCATCTGTGTGCCTTGAATCCCCATCCGTCTGCCTTGAATCCCCATCCGTTTGCCTTGAATCCCCATCCGTCTGCCTTGAATCCCCATGCATGTCTTCTGAATGCCCATTCTGTCCTCCTGAATCCTCATCTATGTTGCCTGCACACCATCCATGTCCTCTGAATCCCACTTCATGCACTTTGAATCCCCCCTTCATGCCCTGTCCATGTTCCATGAATGCCTCTGTTTCCATGGCCTTGGTCTTCCTGTTGGGTAGACATTCCAACAGCTTCAATGGTTGCTATGACGATCAAATCAATTAAGTGAATATCGGGGCCAGTTCTTTCACCAAGTCGATAAGATGGCTGGGAAATTGATTGAGTTTGTAACTGGTGTTAGGAGATCTGGCTAAGATCCAATGATTGAGGCACAAAGCCTGATGTAAGCAGAGCAGCCGTGAATGACAGCGTATGCAAATCTCCACCACCCTTGTGCTCTCCCAACACACATGAAACAGGCTGCAACTCTTAAAGGAATACGTCTTCGTTTTGGCATCCCTTTCAGAGGGAATAATAACACCTCTATTCTCTGCAGATGAAATTGTGACATGTATGTGCCCAGGGATCAAAATTAGTGGAGTTTACATACGAAGACATTCTTTGAGTGTTTTGTTGAAAGGAAATAACTTGAAGCTTTGAAAATACTAAATACATGTTTATACTGCATGAATACTTTGAAAGCACTATGGAAAGTTGAAAAGAGGATAGTTATATATGTAAATGTGTTTTTTTTAAACGAATTCAGGTTTAATTTATGCAACAAATTGACTTTTTATTCTTGTTCATGTAAATGTCTGTCGAGCAAGTTTGTTTGTTTGTGTTTTAATGCCACACCCAGGGGTGGAAATAACTTTAATATTGCTAGTGTACTCCGGTACAGTGGCACATGTAAAATCACTTGCCCTGATAATTTTTCCACTATACCGGCCGTTTTCTTGTTGATTTTTTGAATAAACAACATAATTAACATTGGAATATCAACTGGACACCGGTACAGTGTGATATACAAATTTGCTTGCCCGACAGTAAAAATCACTGGACTCGGGCATCGGGCAATGGGTTATTTCCACCCTTGACACTATAATGATACCATGTAAGATGTTTGAAAGGTAGGTTCATTTTAAACTTGCAGCGTGGTCACTCAGTGAACATGTATTGTGAGTGGGCCAAATGGGTTTTTACGCTTCTTTAGCAATATTCCAGCAATATCACAGCGGGGAACATAGAAATAGGCTTCTCTCATTGTACCCATCTTTGAAATTGAACCTCACTGCCAGGGCCAGCGTGTCGAGCAGATGCTTTAAAGACTAGGCTACCCACCGCCCTCTGATATTATGAAACAATCTTCATTGCAGAATACATTCACCAATATCTTTGTTATGTGTGGGAAATTTGTTTTGTTTGTTGCTTATAATCAAATTCATCAAAATGGTGTTCAGTACGTAATTGTTGTGAAACCCATTTCTGGTGTCCCCAGCCATGATATTTCTGGAATATTGTTAAAAGTGACGTAAAACCATACTCGCTCACTCACTGTTAGTCATTGTGTTTGAGTCACGCCGAAGACCCAGGTTCGAATCCCCACATGGGCACAATGTGTGAAACCCATTTCTGGTGTCCCCCCGCCGTGATGTTGCTGGAATATTGTTAAAAGTGGCGTAAAACCAAACTCGCTCGCTCACAGTTAGTAATTGTGCTTGAACCAAACAGTCCAGTGACTGACGTCATAAGCATCGACCTACACAAGCCTAGTGTGGGATCCGTATGACAGAATGTTTTTTGGCATGTGATTTGCATGATGCAGTTGTGTATATCAGACTTGTCTGGATCAGATGGTCCATGAAAACGGTTTTGTAGGGAAATACACCTTAAGGTTCTCACAGAAACTTACCTGGTATATTGTGTTGAATGCTTTTAGTTGTGACAGGATTAACTTTATGAAATGAAGGACATCTTTGCATTGTCACTGTTCATTGTTTTGGTTGTTTTAACAACAACTGTCAAAGTCTTTGGAATTGGCCCATATACAGCCTCAGATGTATCTATGCCGTCAAACCTGACTTTGTCCTTGATATAACTAATGAAATTATATATACCTTTGAGGGGTGGTGGGGTAGCCTAGTTGTTAAGGCATTTGCTCGTTATGCCAAAGACCCGGGTTTGATTCCCCACATGCATACAATGTTTGAGGCCCGCTGTGATATTGCTGGAATATTGCTAAAACTGGCGTAAAAAACAAACTCACTCACTCACTCATATATACCTTTGAGGGGCAGTGTGGTAGTCTAGTGGTTAAGGTATTGCTTGTCACGCCGAAGACCCGGGTTTGATTCCCCACATGGGCACAGTGTGTAAAACCCATTTCTGGTGTCCCTTTATATGTATTTATAATTTAAAATAATGATGTTTAATTAGAATATTGTATCATAAGCAAGTAATTAAGTACCATAGGTGAAAATGAAGGTAAATCAATATCAGTTGTTTAGGAAAGTGTATGTTCGATTGAGAGTAGTGGTTCACAAGGTTTGTCAGGTGCCAGGGGTGGAAATAACCCATTGCTCGACGCAAGCAGATTTGTATATGACGCTGTACCGGTGTCCAGTTGATATTCCAATGTTAATTATGTTGTTTATTTAAAAAATCAACAAGAAAACGGCCAGTATAGCGGAAAAATTATCAGGGCAAGTGATTTTACATGTGCCACTGTACCCGGAGTTCACTAGCAATTTTAAAGTTATTTCCACTCCTGGGTGCCAATACAGCCAAAGTACTTCATATCACACACCGTGGAGAATAAATCAAATTGCAGTTCTCCTCAAGTCAAGATTGATAGGCAAGTCTAGATTGCCTCAGTTCTAGGAATAATCTGTCTTACAATCCCTGAACCACATTATTTTCCCTACTGCCAAGCCCTGCCTGCAGTGCTAAAGCCCTAAATGAAGCATTTCTAGATTTCCTCAGGTTCTGAATCTCTGGTCTCCCTGGGGCTCCTTTTCAATTTAAATGGTCTTGTTTGTTACTATCAAAATTATATATATTCAGAGACTAAGTGTTAGTCTATTCTAGGAATATAGAATTGTTCTAGGTTCCAGTTGGAACAAATCTTTTTGTATATTTTTGAAAAATCTATTTTTTTGACTAAATGTCAGTCTGCAGCCAAGGTCGAACACTGCCGAGTGCTTCACCTTCATCCTTGATAGAACAGGGTCATGTCATCCATCCATCACTCTTGCAAAGTGAGAACAGTCGGATCTCGGGTTTCTCCAATCAAGGCGACTGTCTGTGAGGAGAATGGCAATAACTAGCAGGTGTCATTCAATTAAAGGGGGCATCATGCTGAAGACCCACATGCAGTGTTCACGAATGGTGTTTCAAAGTCACAGAACATTGGGTCTTGTAAGTTTCAGATGTCTGTCTGACCCATTGAAAATGCACAGGACCCATGGAATAAAATTTTACACACATTTCAGATTTAATATTTCTTATAATTGACATTGAAATTATTAACAAACATAAGGTTTATAAACAGCAAACAAGTGTCACATGTCACATAAAACAACTTCAGTCAAAGTCATTGTGAAATATACAGTCAGACACTGGGGCCGGCAGGTTGTAGACTTCTGTCTGACCATTAGCGAATCTGCCGGATTTGTCAGAGGGTCAGACGCTATTCGTGAACACTGCACATGGGTACAATGTGTGAAGCAAATTCTGGTGTCTCCTGCCATGACATTGCTGGAATATTGCTAAAAGCGGCGTAACACAGACTGTTAAACTATTGTGTTAAATGTGGACT